ATTAATAGTAGACCCATTGAACTTTTATACTAGTACAACCCAAAGGATTCTATTCAGATATGAAAGAATCTTTCTTAATATTTCTTAATTCTTCAATATTAAATCGGGAATGTTTTGAAATTGACGCAGTGTATTTTCAGTTTCCCTTAGTCTTATTGTTAGTTAGGCGATATAGCCTTACCTTACCATAATTCATTTTTCACAAATTAGACACAAATTAATGTATGACTCTTATACATTCTGGATGTCAGTAAACTAGTTTATACATTAAGTTCACTAATTTGTTTCAAAGTTTTGGAACGTGGTCCGTGTTTCATTTTGATTAATAGCATAATACAAAAGTTTTAATATAGCGTCACGTTCTTTCTGATTAATATTGGAGAGAGATACTTACATATCGAAGTGACACCTAAATTAGACGAAAAATGCCCACATCTTTAGGTGTTGACATCAATGGCATATGCGAGTGGGTTCTGTTTGAGGTATACAGGATGTCCCATAAATGCCAAAACCAAGAGTAACAACTTTTGTGTATTTATTTTTTCGAAAATCTCAAATTTTAAAATAGTAGTAGTAAAACAAACCGTAGACATCAAAAACACCCCAAAGAAAACAGTCCAACGGCATTAATTCGCTCGCGTGTTCCGAGCGGCCAATTCTAATCACCAAAACGGGAAATTACACGACCAGGAAATGACTCATGCAGTAATTGAGTTGTTTCTCGGACTGTGCGGTATGTGGCACAGCCTTGTTGAAACCACATGTCGTCTACGTCCATATTTTACATTTTAGGCACAAAAAAACTGGATTATAATTTTTCTAAGAACAATGGTCCGATGATGTCTCCAGCTCAAAATCCGCACCAAACAGTGACACGTTGTGGGTGGATGTATGTGTTTCTCAACGTGGATTTTCTGAACCCCAAATGCGACAATTTTGTCGACTAACGAAGCCATCAAGATGTAATTGAGCCTCATCGCTGAAAATGATTTTGTCAAGTTGTTGTTGTTCCATAATCCATTCAACGATCTCTCTTTGCTCTGCGTGGTCAGTAGGCTTCGGTTCTTGAGTCAATTGACCTTTGTAAGCATGAGGATGCAAATCTATCGTGAGAATACGCTGTGACCACGGTGTCAAATTGATGTTCCAGGACTCTCAGCAACACTCTCACGAACTGCTTAGATGTTTTGTGTTGAACAACTTGTTGAAGGACGGCCAGACGGTTTAAGATCTATAATTACACAGCCCCACAAAAAAAGAGTGGAATGTCAGAAAGACAAGACCCTGCTATCTATATGTTTTTGGGTTCGCTGAATCCGAATCCGGCGTTTGTTTGACCCGATTAGCTCTGGGTTAAGCTCAGCTTAAGGTCAAATATAGAGCATCAATTGCCAACAAAGTAAACCAACATATCTATATGATTTTGGGGTCGCTGAATCCGAATTCGGGGTCTGTTTGATCCGATTAGCTTTGGTTGAAGGTGAGTTCAAGGTTAAATGTATAGAATCAATTGCTAAGTAAACCCATAGATCTGTATGTGTTTGGGGTTGCCGACTCCGAATCCGGTGTCCGTTTGACAAAATCAGATTTGGTTTAAAGTCAGCTCAAGGTCAAATATAGGGAATCAATTGCCAATAATGTAAACTAATATGTCTATACGTTTTTGGGGTCGCTGAAGGCGAATCCGTGGTCCGTTTGACCTGATTAGGTCTGCTAAATACCCTCAAGTTCTAAACTCAAAACGCTCAAGCATTTATACGTATTAAAATTTGAGTACTTCGTTGAGTACACTTCTCAAACCTTTTGACAACAAAATAGTTCGATACCATAAACGTCGATATCATAATAGTGAGATGTAGTGATTTCATGTGGTTTATTAAAGCAAAAAATCTCTTGAAAAACTTTTCTCAAAAATCTCAACGAACAAGGACTCACTGTGTGAATTAATGTACATGAGGCATTGAAACATTAACTGCCATATTGGTTAAAGCTTACTTAATTAGGCTTACTGATACTAGAATTTTGTCATGTGAAAACAATAAATTCGAAAGTCACGGGCTTAGAGTTTAAAGCTTTCTTTCTTTAATATTATTTCTTACTCAAATTTTAATACGCGTAAATGAATACTTGAGTGTTTTGAGTTAGCAGATCTGATCAGATCAAACGGACCCCGGATTCGGATTAAACGATCTTAAAAACGTATAGATACATTGGTTTACTTTGTTGGCAATTGATTCTCTACATTTGACCTTAAATAGACCTTAACTCAGACCTGATCGGATCAACCGGACACCGGATTTGGATTCACCGACCCCAAAAACGTGGCCTTTAACCAGAGCTAATCGAGTCAAACGAACACCGGATTCGGATTCAGCAATTCCAGAAACATATAGATACCAGGGTCTTGTCTTTTGGATATTCCACTTTTTTTGTGGAGTTGTGTTATTACAGGGTGATTTTAAATGAAGTAGCAAAAATGGTACCAGTGATAGATCCAAAATAAGAGGATTGAAGTAAAAATACCTTATATGAAAGTTGCACCTCTAAGGCGATATACCCTCTTAATGGAGGGAATTGAAATTCACATTTTAATTTATTTCTTTAACATGGGGAGTGTTAGAGACACTAAACTTGGTATATTTCTTCGATCATTGGCGTATTTTATAAAGGAATAAAAAATTAGATGCGTCATCGTTCACTAAAGGGGTAATTGCGAAAATTTGTAAAAATAAAGTAGGCGGATGTCATAACAAATAAATTGTTATTTATCATATTAATAAATTGACACTTTCTGTCGATAAGCTGGTAATTTAATAATAACATTAAGAATAATTTGCTATTAATTAATGAAAAATGTTTGATAACTTATGACTATGGGACATGTATTAGGTAAAGTTATTTATCTGAAATAAAATTTAATACAAACGAAAAACAAGAAATGCAAAATTAAATTTAAAGAATATTCTCGAAATAATTTCCATTTTGCTGCAAGCATAACCTAATACGTCTGTTGAAGTTATAACGCACTCGCACAAACAGTTCTTGGTTATTGCGAAGGTCATCTGCTGCCTGAAATATTCTTAAGCGTAGTTCTTCTAAGGAGGCAACAGGAGTGGCATAAACAATACTTTTTATGTGTCCCCACAAAAAGAAATCCATAGGCGTTAGGTCAGGTGAACGTGCAGGCCAACAAACAGGGGCATCACGACCACGACCAATCCAGCGATTCGGGTAATTTAAATTTAACCATTCTCTAACGGCAAGTGTACTATGTGCAGGCGCCCCATCGTGCATATACCACATCACCTGACGTGTAGCGAGGGGTACATCCTCAAGTAATGTTGGAAGATTTTCGTTCAAAAATCTAAGATACTCGGCCGCTCCAAGCCTGTGTGGAAGAATAAAAGGACCTACTAGAGTATTTCCTACAATTCCCATCCAAACGTTTAAACTGAAATTATGTTGACATCTTGAAACAAATATTTCATGAGTATTTTCTTCCGACCATGAATGAACATTATGAAGGTTTACTGCACCTACTCTAGGAAAATTTGCTTCATCGGTGAAAAGTATATTCATTAGGAAATTTAAGTCATGCCTGGAAATATTAATGTACCATTGACAAAAATCCACGCGGTTAGGTAAATCAGGGTCATTCAATTCTTGCACGGGTTGATGGTGAAAAGGGTATAAAAGATTTTCATGAGCTACATTCCACACAAGACTGTGAGAAACTTGCAGTTGCCTGGACACCTGTCTTGTGCTTGTACCACAGTCTTGTTCTAGATGTTCCAGTATAGCTTCCTCAGTTTCAACAGTTCGGACATTACGCCTTCTTCCGGCACCCTCACGATTGGGCTGAATTTTACCAGTTTCGCGAAGCCTTCTTTCCACCGAGGCCAATGTTTGTCTATGAGGAATCGGTCGGTTTGGATATCTTTGGTGGTATAATCTTACTGCAGCGTTACTATTTTTTCTGGATTCGAAAAACACTTGGAGCATGTCGACATATTCGTCATTGGTATAAATATTATTTGCCATAATTATTCTGATAATAAATTAATCAATTGGTACTAATTATTGGTTGACAGAAAGTGTCAATTTATTAATATGATAAATAACAATTTATTTGTTATGACATCCGCCTACTTTATTTTTACAAATTTTCGCAATTACCCCTTTAGTGAACGATGACGTATCTAATTTTTTTACTAGAAAACTATCAGTTTTATCGAAAAATTACAAATGTTAAAAAGTTGCGCAATAAATCATATAAAAAATTTCTAATAAAATATTGCAATGGGGTTGACTGTTTCACTCCTTTATAAAATACGCCAATGATCGAACAAATGTTGAAAAGTTGTCTATTAGTAGGATGCTCATACCAAGTTTCGTGTCTCCAACATTCCTCATGTTAAATGAAAAATTAAAATGTGAATTTCAATCCCCTCCTTTAAGAGGGTATATCGCCTCAGGGATGCAACTTTCATATAAGGTATTTTTACTCCAATCCTCTTATTTTTGGCTCTATATTCACTGATACCATTTTGCTACTTCATTTAAAAACACCCTGTGTTGCAAATGCAAAATATTATACGAATTTCCATTAGACGGACCTTGTGAAATGTAACCGTCGAAAACACCAGATGTCCTGGAGGTTCTACTGATTGTGAGATGGCAATACTTTGTTATTAATTGTGTGTCCGCCATTCTCTGTCACCATCTTCCGTAACCCTTTAAACTACACTACTATCTCTGTCTCATTTTATTTGCTTTCTCTGACTCTTTATATTTCTACTTTTTGGTTAAACTTTACGTTTCAAGAGGAATTTTTTTCTGTCTACATTGCGTTTTGAAATTTTATTATATTCAAAATTATATTAACGATTCTGCATCTGCATAGTTAATGTCTGCCTTCAAAGATAACATATTTACCGTTCCTGCGTATATAAAGTGTTTTTTTTGCAACAAACTAACGGCGAATACTTTTCTAGTTACAGAATATGGGATCAGTGCAATATGATGCAAGATTTCATCGAAATACTGGATGGTTGGGGCCCCTCGGCCACAACTTTGGCGCATTTGTGTAGTGGTGAAACGATTCCGGAAATTATTAGCAGCGGGCCGGAACTACTAGTGAAGTTCCATACTTCGCCCTACGGCAATCCTTTTCACCCTCTGCCGTTGTCCTATTTGCCTGGTTTTGAACTAGAAATAGAGGTAAGTGAACTGTAGCAAAATTTGTGGTGTCTTTACACTCTGGATCTTTAAAACAAATCAGACATAAATTAATATACCAATTAAAGGAGTATATAAAGGGATTAAGTAGGTTAATTTTTATATTATACTTAAATAACAATTTTTGCAACAGTTTTACGTTTGAACCGGCAAGAAATAAGCATGCAAGGTTAGCTACCTACGTAAGTCAGGGGTGTAGAGTGTTATTTTCAAATTTACGCTTGTATAAGGGCGCCACTGTATCTAGTCCAATAAGATATAGATATTTATTAGTGGATATTACTTACAATTTTGGTAATTTAGGACAGTCAAATAAAAAAAGGCAAAAATAACAATTTAAAACAATAAAATTAAAAAAATTCATTTTCACAACACTCGCTCTTTACAATAACTGGAATATGAGTTTACAAGAAAAGTAATTTTTATAATTTAGAGTTGGAATAAGAATTAGCATAAAAGTTTCACAAATTTCAACTGATCTTTACAATAGAATATATGACCAAGGCAAGGTGGACAAGGTCTTACGTATCTTAAGCAGTGATGTTGACCCTGAAGAGTGATGGTGCCAAAGGAGGAGTTGCCTTGAAAGACAGCAACACCATACTGATGTGATGGTGTTGCCTCTGTCAGTTGAGCTTGGCTGGTAACGTCTATGACGAACCTTCTCTACAGACTATGTTGGATTGTCCTGTAGTGGTGGTGAAGAACCGCTCTTGTGTAGAGATGTTCCATTTGGTCAGTAATTACAAAAGGACAAAAATAAATGGTTATATTAGTTGAAGCTAAAGATCGAATTAGGTTTAACAATATCAATTTTAAACTGCATCTGTTGTTCCAGAGGTTGCAAAATTTAAGATTTTATGGATTATAATTATATTTACACTATTTACACTAAATGAAAATGAAATAAATGATAAAATTCAAAGATCTACAATAATCTTAGAAAAATTAACTAAGTTTGTAAAGGACGATAATAATTAAATAAATTCACTATACAGTAAGTGTCTTAGGTTAAGGTGATATTGAATATAAAATATTTAAAGGTTTAAATGGTACACAAACAAAATGTAAAGTCTAAATAATTTTATGCTTCAAATAACGAATTACTAGTCTCGTGAAATAACTAACAGCTATGATAAGAATTGAGGAAAGTAAGCTGCATTCAGATTTAAATAAAAGAAAAACTGTAACTTACCCTCCCATTCCATCACCAGACTACGATGCAACGACTCTGTAGACGCCATCCAGTATTATTTGCTAAGAGCCCAAAGATTTACTTTGTCAACTGAAGCGAGTCCAGTGTTCATTATATGTATACCTCACCAGAACAGTAAAAGTCTTCAGATTTCAACCTAAGCTAAAAAAATATCAGAATTATAGGCAGAAAATTATTATACTCTATGCTGCTAATAAAAAATTACAACCCACTCCAACACCTGGCAAAAGCAATTAAACATTAATAACAGTTCCAAAAATTTTCTCTTGAGAGCCTGTATCAAACGACAAAGGCAAAGAAAGGAATTCAAGAGAGAGAGAGAGAGAGAGTTCTAGTTTGTTGCCGGTATTTATACTCTCGCTTTGAATCCAGTGTTCTAATAACTGCTCGGAGTATAATCTGAGTAAGAATACTATAACGTTCTAAAAGTAAATGGCATTGAGGATAAAATGGTTGTTATTTGGGAATAAAATTAACATTTAAAAGAATTAATTAAAATTTGGTTACATCTTATAGGTATTATTATTTATTATGTTTTAAAAATGTTAGTCTTTTGATTAAAACCATGATTAACCAATACAATATGCTTGTTCTATTTTTTTTTATTAAATTTTCATTTGTTTCACTGTTTTGTCTAAAATTTTAAAGTATAACGTGGTTTTAAACTAAAATTTAACAAATTATTTTATATACCTATTTGTGTAAAGATATACAGTCAAATCGAATAAATTCAATAATAAATAAATGGAGGCGTGCTCGCAAAAACGCTCCGTCACGTCGATTGGCATTTTAAGTTGCACGTTTATTTCAACAAAAACTTTTTATACAGGGTGTGTCATGTAAATGGTCAATAGTAACTATCTTATTTTAAATGCAACACCTTTATATTATTTAATTTTTGGATCCTTCAGAAACATATTTCATGTACAATGTCCTATACCTATCTTCAACTGTTTCGGAAATATTAAGTGTTTTCAGATTTATTGCAAAAATTAACATTAAAAAAAGAAAATTATTTGATTACAGAAATTCGCTAGAGTACGCTCAAAAACTAATAAGTAATACTGTTTATCACGCGGTTCAGTATAAGAAGAAAAAAGAAAATAAATGAACCGTATTAACAAAATGAAAATCGAATTGAATCGGTAGGTACTTACCAATTCGGTGTAGTTATTCTTTTGATGATTTCAGAGTTTGCACAGGTACTGGATATGTGTGCGTTTGTTAGCGAATTTTTCGAATTAGTGAGCTCTCTTTTACACCTAGGATACGTGTCGTCTGTTTTTACTCCTTGTCGCTTCCTTTCCTCCTTCCACGCGGAATCGTGCCGATTCAAGACATGTGTTTTTTAATAAATAAAATATAAATTTACATAGATGCAAAAATAAGCTTGATGCCAATTAAACATAAAAATAAAAAAAGGAAAAGAAAAAAAAGAAACAATTATAAATTAAATTTATAAACACTGTCAATGTAGGAAATGTTCAAAATGCTCGCCGCGAATGTCTTGGCAACATCCTAATCCTACATAGAAATTTTTTGTAATGTTACTCAACATTTAGGGGTGACCGATCTAATCGCAAGCGTTATTCGTCTTCTTAAGTTAGCGAAGTCGAAGGGTTTAGTTTTGTATACAATACTTTTGACATATCCCTATAAGAAGTTTAATGGTGTAAGATTAGGGGATCGTGCTGGCCTTTCCATCGATCCTCGCCTTCCTATCCACCGATTTGGAAATATTCGGTTGAGGTACTGCCGGATACTGATTTGATAATGGGGCGGTGTTCCATCTTGCAGAAACCATATCATATTCGTTGGAATTTGTGGGTTTGCTGGATCTGGATATAAGTTTGTCAAAGTTGGCATGAATTTATTTTGGAGCAGTACAAATAATTATCGCCATTCAAATTGCCATCAATGACAAAGGGACCTGTGATATGATTCCAACAATTCCTGCCCAAACATTATTGGGTATTGCGTATATTTTTCTGTAATCCATTGAGGATTTTCATTAGACCAATAACGGCAATTTTGACTATTAGCATGACCGTGAAGTGTAAAGGTGCACTCATCAGAAAACAAAACATGTTCTAATTGGATCACATTGTTATCTAACATTGCCATCATTTGTTCACAAAAATACGTTCACCTATCAAAATCGTCTTCCATGAGCTCCTGAATTGGTTTCATTTTATAAGGATGCATTTTATTTTCTTTTAATATTCGAATAATCGATAAATGGCTAACATCGAACATTGCGGCTGCTTTTCGACCGACGATGTGGGTTTTCCTCAAACTCAAGCATAATATCAATTTGGTATTATTGCTTATTGCATGGGCAGCCGCTTTTTTTATCTGCCTTACATGTCCAAGCTCGCGAAACTGCTTTTCTATTTTACTAATTGTCCCTTGGGATACGGCGGCAAATTTGGAAATCTTTCATGAAATAAGCGAGCAACTTTCGTTTGTCTCCGTGTGTTATCTCCATAACCAATCATCTGTAGAACTGTCATTTTCTGCCTTTCTGTTAAATGAACCATCTTTTTGATATGCAGTTAATGAAATTCAAACGACTATAACACTGATAACTACTGTCATGCAGGCAGACAACACGTTGCTAAGGTCAGGCGTTTTAAACAAAAGTAAACAAAGCTATTTATAGTTTTTTTTAATTTCATATCAGTACAAAGGAACGCTGAATTTTTTTTTGCTTACTTTCTCATTATCAAGATCTAAAGGAGGAATAAGTATTAAGTGTGTTGTAGCGAATTTTTGTAATCAAATAATTTTCTTTTCTTAATGTTAATCTGAAACTTAATATTTCCGAACCAGTTGGAGGTAGGTAGGTATAGGGCATTGTACATGAAATATATCTAGAATTTTCTGAAGAATCCAAAAATCCATTTAAAATAAGAAAGTTGGTATTGACCACTGTTACATAACAAACCCTGTATAAAAAGTTTTTGTTGAAAAAAATGCGCAACTAAAAATATCAATCGAAGTGTCCGGGCGTTTTATTTATTATTGAATTTATTCCATTTGGCTGATATACACCTGATCTTGTCGTTCGGAAAATTAAATAAAGTCACCCTAAGTAAGAATCTTTTGGAATTTTTGCCCTAAAGAAACAGAATAAGTGCAATCTTACACTTTATATAACTGAAGTAAAGACGTAATTTGTTTAATGCCATCTAATTATCAACAATTTGTAATCGTTTACAGATCTTCTATGTCAACAAAGAATCTCCAACCTACATAGAACACGGGAAGAAATGCGAATTTCTAGTAACTACTTTCGATAATACCACAGGGTTATTAGAGAGTCCGTTGCATTCTTTACCTCCAAACACTACATGTCACTACCACTTCCGGGGGCAACCAAAAGACATAATCTGGATCTCTTTCATCAAATACCACGTGACAAACGAGAGACTTACCGACTTCAATGCGGGAGACTGTGACGTACAGTTACAAATATGGGACGGCGACATAAAAAGCAGAAACACGGTTCCACTTATAGGTCAGTTTTGTAAGGACGACAAACCAAAGTTGTGCGACCACACCTTGCTGAAAAATTCTTCTAGACTAACTAGACCTTGCGGTCTAGCAGAAAGCTACGTTAGTACCAACTCTGACCTAACTATATCTCACTCTATTAAGTATGGCAGCGTTTTGTATCCTGTCAACTTTGTCTTGAAGTACGAATTCGTTGATTTATCCCAAGAAGGAGTTCAGATGTCCAGAAATCCTTGCGATAGGCTCTTTAAAACGTCAAGTGGTAGATTTTATTCGCCCCGAATCACCTTCCTCTTTGGAAGGGGTGGTCAAAAAGACTTAATTTGTACATATCAGTTTGAATCCAATGACCATCAGAGATTGAAGATTACTTTCAATAAAGCTCAGTTCGGATCGAAGGAATGCTATTCATCTTACGACCCTGAAGCTAACAGATGGGAATGTAATGCCAAGTTGGAAGAAGACGGAATAGCTAACATAAAGATATCAGAGTATCCATGGGTGGATGTTGAGATTAAAAGAGATTGCTTGTGTGGGAATATCACAGAACCGTTCACTGTAGTTACAAAAACGTCCAATAAGGTGGTTGTCAAGTTTACTGCTACAAAAATGAAGATTACTGAAGATCATAACAATTATTTCTTCGACGCTACCTTCGAATTTATTCCAAACGAAAAAAATTGCCTCAATCCATGGAAAACGAGAAGATTACGAGGATCTAGTGGTGAAATAACAGTAAGGAACAGCGATCAGAGCTTGAAAACAAACGAGGAAGGACATCAAAATCAAAGCATAAGATACTGTTTGCAGCAGCCTTGGTTGATAGAACCCGAGGAAGATGGAAATTTCATTTATTTAAAAATCAAGGGATCTGAAAGGAGAGATTCCAGGCTTTGTCCTAGTAAAAATCGCATTTTGGTATACCCCGCCGGCCGTACTGAAGAAGTGCACGTTATTTGTCCTCATTATGAAAGCGTAGACGATGTTGTTGAAATGTTCTCCGAGGGATGGAGCCTGTATAGTTACAGGAAAATACAGAATAAGAATTCTAGGAGTTTTATAATTGAGTTTTTGAGGAAAGAGACTGGGAATTTTGCCGTCACATGGATGGAGGTCTCTAAAAATCCTGCCCTCGCGTTGCCTACGTCCTTGTTAATGATTGCGCCACCCGAGTGTGCTCACAGGTAAGAAGGCTTAAAATTACGCAAATTTATTTGTAAAGAATTAAATTTTTCGTTTTCAGTTTTAGCGTTCTTTAATAAACGTTAGTTGAAATTTTATCAGTATAATATGGCGCTGATTGTTCGAATTTAAAATTTCGTAAAATACAATTGGATGGATGATATATGCGAGGAAATAATCTTTGTTAAATACTCCATTTCCTTATTTTTTCTAAATGCACTCTATTTTTAGCATTTTATGGGTCTTAAAATAAAAGTTCGGCAACTCTGTGTTCTAAGGGTTTCTAAACTTGTTTACAACAAATTTAAAATCTAATCTGTAGTTTCTTCCAAAGTTTCTTTATTACTCAATTTGAAGTTCTCGTTATCCGAACAAAATATTTTAAAACCTTATCATATGTAATCTTGTTGAAACTCTTACTTCAAATAAACTTTTAAAATAATACTAGAAGGTTAAGCTTAATCGAAGCTATTTGGAGTACAATGTAAACTTTAACATTAAGAAATATTCATGTTTTTAGGCATTCAATGCAACAGTATTGTGTAAATATTTCCTCTTCTTATATTACATCAAAGCAATTTTTGTAATGAATTTAAAAACAAATAGATATGTACCTACAGATATTACAGTAAAAAGGCACAAATGTATTTTATTTCACACATTCACAATTTATTTTAATTAATTTATTTTGCGGTAAATTCGTGGTTCAAGTCCTTTCACCTCTGTGTGTTTTTACAATTTAAAGTCTAAAATGTGATTTATTACAAAAATGCACATTAAGCGCCACCGTAGCTCCTACAAGATGTTGACATCTGGAACCGGTGGCGAATATTAATATGAAATATACAGGGTGATTCAGAACTTATCCAAAAAAAATTTTTTGAATGTACAGGGGACAGGGGACAAATACAATTTTGTAAAAAAAATCAAAAAGGGCAATTCGAAAATGATTTAAAAATACACTTCACTGGAAACTGGTCCACTGTAAAACCTGACCTTAAGGCAAAGTATGCAATCGGCGACTGGCACGGTGGCAAAGAGTAATAAAAAATGATTTTACAAAAAATTGAAAGAATTTCTTTCCGAAGGAAATAAATTAATAAAATTTTGTAACACCTATTTTATATAAGCAAATTTTTGCTTTTGGCGATATTGTTAGATATTATTAATTAATAACAACATTAATTTTACACCGACGTGTAAACACATTTGGGTCCATCATACCCAGCTTCTACGAACTAACACAAATGTTGCCTTGCTTCGCCATAACACAAATGTTGTCTTGCATAAAGCCATGTTGCCATAAATTAAAACGATATGCATCAACTCCGAGTTGCTATAGGTACACGTAAGCGTAATTGATGAAGATTAGTCTGAAGGTACAAATTTTGATACAGACTTTTAATCTGATTCTTTAAATAAATATTTTTAATTTTTAATGTTGTTCTTCCGAAGATACCAATAACATTGAATTTGAGGAAGAAAGCGATTTGGACAGCGAAGGATAAATCCGATATAAACAGCGACTAGAATAAGTCTACATTTTCAGCGTTTTTTTGTTAATAAAATAATTATTATTTCAATTTTAAATACAGGGTGATTCACAACTTATCCAAAAAAAATTGGGAATAGATGCGGCATGAGAAATGGAGTCAATATTGTAAAAAAAAAATTTTGTAAAATCCTTATAGTTTCCGAGAAAAAAATTATTGAAGTTGTAGTGCTGTCAACCATTACATAGCCGGACAACTGTAGTTTCTAGTGTCATTCGTAATACGCCTGCAGAGCCAAGTGGCCTCAGCGACTCCGAATACTGAAATCCGATGTTTATAATAGTTTTTTAGTAGTTAGTGTCAAAAATGGCTTGCGTGTATAGCAACTCGGAGTTGATGGATATTGTTTTAGTTTATGGTGCAGCAAGAAAACATTTGTATTATGGTGAAGTATTTGTGTTATGGTGAAATAAGACAGAATTTGTGTTAGTTCGTAGAAACTGAGTAAGACGGACCCAAATGTGTTTACGCGTCAGTGGACAAAATTTAGAACAGTTATTGTAACATCAGGTATGTCAAATTATGTTATTATTTAAAACAACAAATGAATTTTATTAATTAATAATAACAATAGCGGCAAAATCAGTTGAATTTGCTGATATAAAATAAGTGCTATAAAATTCTATTTACTCTTTTGCTTGCGAAATTCTTTCAAGTTTTTGCCCGTTTTTATCACTGTCGCCTTGACGGTCGCATTGTGCCAGGTCAGGTTTTACAGTGTGCCAGTTTCCAGTGCCGTGCAGAAGTGTATTTTTAAATCATTTTCGAACTGCACTTTTTGATTTTTTCTTTACAAAATGGTATTTGTAAGGGTCCCCTGTACATCCAGAATTTTTTTTAGAAATTTGATTATAGGTGACTCAAAATAATATACTTCACATAGAAATTTTTATGCTAGACTGCAGTTAACAAAATAATCTATCGTAATAGCGTATCGCTTAAAATCGTGTCGAGACCGCGCTCTTTCACACAGTGTGTCGCCATGCTATCTTTTTTTTTTTAAATGAGTCATAATATTTTTTTTTCACCAAATTTTATCCAGTTTTGTAGCCGTCTGGCAGTACCTTCTCTTCCAATAAACCGTCTGGAAATAATTTTCCATGGTTTGCAACAGTAAATTTTCATCGATAATTTTTTTTTTCTGTAAAATTTAGCATTTTTGACCGCCCGCCCCCGCTTTAATCTTTCTGAGCGCACAGACAGACTGATTGCTCTGTGTTCGGAAGCATTAATGCAATCTATCTAGGTAGGTAATCAAATTGAATGCACCTTAAAACGTGCATTTTTATATAGCCAGCTTTTAGATTATAAGATAACTTGATTTGAATTGGTTTATTTCCATCTAAATAAACTATCCTTAAAATATTTTTTCTTTATTAAAAAGAAAGAACAGTTTTCAGCGATTTCAATTCATCATTCAACAAGGGTGCCATTTTTAGGAAAAACGAAATTTACAATGAAAAAAATCTAATTTCAGAAAAGTTGGACATACAATTTTATTGGTTTCAAATAACAGAAGATCAAAAATAAACAACAGTAACATAGGTTACGTAGAACTCTTGAAAACTTATTTCACCTTACTCTTAATTACTAAAAGAAAAAAATATTTCTTATCTCAAAAACAAAGACGAAAGACCTATGGTCTATTTCCCAAATTTGCGGCACCATTTCCAGAACATCTTGTTTCCGATTTTATTTGAAGGAAATTTTAGAGGAAATAATATAATTAATTTATAAGCTATCAGCATTTACTGCCACTGGATATTTTCAGGTTTTGTCAGATAGCGCTGATAAAAAATAAGCAATTATAAGTCGAGTATTTACTTTTACTTAATACCTATAAGTATTTACTAGTTTTTATGCACATGGCCCTAGCTATAAAGCTTTGGTTTCAAGGTTTTCGACTTCATTAATTTCGGTGCAGTCTCTCATGACGATCGACCCTTAAAGTTTGCGGTTTTAACAAAAGAGAAACTTTTCCGGAAGTAGTCCCATTAAGTGATCTCCAAAACTTGTAACATACAGTTATTCTTTCTGTGTTTTAGCTGTCCCGAGTTGGGGGCCTGCATAAGTTCCGAACTTTGGTGTGACGGCCTACGACACTGTCCCTCGGGCAACGACGAGCAGGAATCCAATTGTTCCATTCACGGAGGCTTCTCCACGGTCTATTTGAACTCCGCTGCGCTGTCGGCGGTCGGGCTGGTAGTCCTGATATTCGTCGTCGTTATATCCTTTTACATATTCAAGCACTGGCGGCAGGACCAGAAGAATGTCATCGTATCAGTAACCGAACACACTTTTTTAGAGTTTAAGAGTGGCTTGTGTTGAAAAGCTCAATTATAGGTTAGATGTGTGTACGCATGGGACGGGTGATTGTTCATTGTTCATTGTTGGTTCCACAAATGTATGTATTAAAAATTAATAAAACGCGATTGGAAGCAAGAAACATTAGAAAAGAGTATACAGTATTAGGATTCGGTGTTATCCTACCACATTATTTTCTTTATACCAAAAGGAATCTGGTATAGCTTTACCAAAATTTTGCTTTAGAACATTTTTATCACGTGGTATTTTTGTTTGTTTTCTTTATTGGTGAAGCATGAACAATTTTACTAAATTTGGAATATATTTGGTTAAATATAATAGTTTCTATATTAGCAGAATTTAAATTTAGTTCAAAGAAACCAGTTCTGAATAATTGGTTCAGCTTGATGGTCTTGTTTTTTTTAAACTGCCAATTGTGGGAGTGCTGTTATGCAAATGAATAGTTAGAACTATAAAGTATATAAAGTAAGAAGATAACCGGACCAAGAACTGATCCTTGTGGTGCTCCTGCGTTAATACCGAGACATGCTGATGCAGTATTATTGTGGATGACACGTTGTTATCTATTACTGAAGTATGAACATAGATACTGTAGTTGGCCATTGGATTTGATTAATAACAATACGGCTATAATATCAGTTTTATAAAATAGTAATGAGAGGTTGAATGATACTTCATCGAAGCATGGATGAAAGATTTTCAAAAAAAGAGGACTTCGGAAAACAAATATTTTTAATTTAAAAAAAAATGGCCATCAGTCAATTTTGAGCCCTTCCAAAGGAGATGGCATTTGACGTTTGTTATTAAAAAAATAATAAATTGTAAATGTTATCTATGTAAAGACCTAATATTACAGATGAAATCAAGGTGTTTTTCCATTCTTCTCCTTATAAAGAATAAGTGGGGGTAGGATATTTTCGCACCGTGTAGTTTTTATCATACTGACGATTTTTTTTTTCACATAATGTGTTTGATATTATTAACTACAATTAACAACATATTTAATTAGTAAACATTTAAAGGCATTAATATAATAGTCAGTGGCGGACCTAGCCTTTGATTGTATGCGTCTTTGTTAAAAGTAGTACAGCAGTACAGCATATTCTAACAAAAATCTTACTTCACTGTAACTATGTACGTCCATCGACAGATCAATTATTGTTATTATGAAAAAGGCGCATATTGGCATGAAATCCTAAAAACTTTTGATAGGATCACTCATGTATAACGATTTTTTCTCATTGATAGTCCATAATATAGTTACTGAAGATATTGTAGATTGATTTTATGAAAGTAAAATTATATTACATTTCTAAAAATTCTTTAGTTCTTCAAGTAACCAGATTAAAGAAAAAAAAGTTTCAAATAAATTGGTAATCTCCATCAAATTTGGTTGTCAATAATTCCCCAGAAATTAATGGACAGGTTCTGCAAAGGAAAATACATATCTTTGTGCAGAAGTAATAAATACTTATGAAATGAATATCATTTAACTGATCTTCCCATTTAAAAGTGAAGGTTGTCCTTCAAAATAAAAAGTAAGCAGGATTCAAGTTTTTGGGACACACTATAACAGCTTGACAACATGTACAGTACTTTACTCTTTTGATCAGTGTGATTGATTATGAGAATTATGAATGTATTGCTAATTTATTCTTCTTGAATATTAAACCTTGAGTGGATAAATTGTTATAAATATTTTTTTTTTATGAAAACTTTATGTAAATAATACGCGAGACAATCATTTAAAAAATGAGCTTCATTTTGCCATTGTTATTATAAAGAAAATCTATTATTAACACAAAATTGATACCTGTCAAAGAAAAAACACACCCAATTTATTTAAAATTAGATTGTCTATTAATTAAATTTGAGAAACTTCTGATTAATTTGAAATATACAGGGTGTCCTAATTTATTAGTATCTACAGGTATTTGAGTTAAAAACAAATAAAATTCAAACATCTTTTCAAATAGACCCTAAAACGCATATTTGGAAGCTATAAGTTCCTTAAAATTTCAGATTGTAAGCCTCTAATTATATTACATTATGCTGTGCCCATTAGCCTACTGCTATAATTTATTCTAATATTTCAACATTAATTATGTAAGGAAATGCGTAAAATGTTTGTGCAAATGTGTAAACTTGCCTGTGTTTCTGACACTGATTCAGAAAAAAAGTAATGAATAAAAAATGAAACCAAAAATTACTGAAATAAATGAAAATACGGCGTAATGTTTTTTACTAATGATCTCTCCAGCATTGAAGTACACTCCACTATATCCTATTAGCGGTATCACCAGACGTAGACCATTTTCGAACTTAATAGTTCTCATCAGTATACCATAGTATGACATTCGACGGTCATCTCATACCTGACAAACGATTTAACTATTTCGATCAAACGTGAGATATAACCTATAAACAATAAAGAATATGTCATACATTGTCCACAATATTATTAATTAAAAAGTTTATTTCACTTAGAGTGACAACAAACTAATGCTTTCATACCTATTACCTCCAGATTAGTAGGTCGCTTTTTGAAACTTTAATATCAAGTTCTAAAACAAACAGAAAATTTTTATAGAGTTTGGTACGGGGATACTTTGAGGGGTATCGAAGAACGTCATATAATTAAGTAAAAATGGCTAATACAGTCTTTCAACAACTTAAAATAATCGCAGAGAGCCCAATATAGAGGAGATTATAGTTTGTAAATATGCGCATTTCAGTATTTATTTAGTAAAACGTATTTAAATTTGAATTGTTTTTTACTTTGTATATACCTGTACAATTATTATAAATAGGGACATTACGTATACAAGGTGTTGCATAAGTGTGTACAGCAATACAAAAAGGTTTCTGAATAAACAAAGGTATTTTAAAATATTACTTCGCTTTGAAATCTAAAAGAATAAAAAAGTTTATAGAAAAAACATGAAAGGGATGGTTTACTTCATCTCATTATAACAAACTAGGAAAATGGAAAATATGCTAGTAAAATAAAATTTCGTTTGCTTATATTCAACGGTTTTTGAAACCTGTTTACACCAGTTTAATGGACTGTAACTTTTTAGGGGAGGCTCCAATTAAAAGAATTTATATGAAAGATCCCCCATAAAATTTCCCAAACCATGTAGCCAAGCTAGGAGAGTGAATCTTCCGAACTAATATTATGTTTATACGGGGTGTCGGGTTCATGTTTCAAAAAAGACTCGTGTAAATTGCTCAAGGGAAAATAATAGGGGTAGTTCATGTAAAGTTTTTTTCTTAGACATCCTGTTTTCAAGATACAGTATGTTGAAGTTGTTACTTTCCAAATGGTTTTCCTTAATTATCTTTAAATCGGCTAAAGATAAAAATGTCAAAATTTGTACACGAGTAAACATCAACTGTGTGCTAAGAATAATGTGAAACTGGGTTCTTTCTGAAAAAAAAAATTGGAAGGGTACAATCGAAAAAAAAATATGTTAAATGTCAAAATTTATCACATTTGTAAACGGTTTTGTAAACTCTGACGCATACTACAAAAAAGGTATACTTGTCGAAATTCGGTAGCATGTACCATTTTTGAGAAAAATTAAGTTACATAGAAGCAAATGGGGGAACAATTTCAGCATCTGTAGTATTTCGAGTTTTGCTCATTTATTTAATTGTGCTGTCTGTCTCTGAGTCTGTTTCCTAATATTGTTCTGTTCTTATTACTTTTTTTAAGCATTCATGTCCATGTCAACAATTCAGTCCATTCAACAATTGTTTAATTTAGTAGTGGTAGTTTGCAAAATCAAAAATCATTTATTAATAGATAATTAATTACCATAATTTGTTTATTTTGATTTACTTTCTTAAATGTTACTTTACAACAAGCTGAAACTCAAAATAATTTTTAATTAATTAATAAAGTTAATAAAATGTTTTACAATTTAACTGTTTTGTGTGATACGTAAGAAATTAAAATTATATTCTTAAATGCAAAGACTGTTTGTAGCTAAATCTCTTCAACTCATTCAATGGTAACTAACATCTTTCAATTCAATATTCTATTAATGTACTTTATGTACCGCTTTGTGTGAGCAAACAACTCCCCAAGTTTTTTTGAAACATGAACGAGACACCCTGTATAATACATATAGATGTAACATTTCTGAAATTTAATATTCAACTATTTTTCTAATCTAATACGAGAGTAAAAAAGAATGTTAACATGTTATGTGATTATCCCTGTACAAAGGGTGTTCCGCTGAAAAAGGCTCATGAAAATTTAGCTAGTTTAATGTTTTAATTGAGAAAATTATAAATTGGAATTTTAATGTCCGACAGAAAATGTCATTTTCGTATCGACTAAGCCGTGAGAAAATCCTTATTCTTGCATATTGAGTAGAAAAATCTATTTTCTAGTACTTAAGTATTTCCTTTAAAAAAACTCTTGACTCTACTGATTTTATATCACTCTATGAACGTACAGCATTTTTTTAATTGAAAGGATTGCTAGCCATCTGCTCATGTTGGCTTTACAAAAAGTATTTAAAAAATTGTGTTTTGCTTAATTTGGGTCTCTTTTAACTGACAGGCTGAAGTTAATACGAAGCGAACTAAATACTTTGAAGAGGTGTCATTGGTGTCAAAGCAAGTTTTATTAATAGTCTCTAGAAATACTCAATCCACTTTGATTCGAGGCTCTGTGTGTTAAGGCCCGTTTGCCTTAACATTTAATTTAAAAAATGTAACTGATAAGTTAGGTTAGGTTTTTTATGAAAAACATACGAAAAAGACCTAGGTAAATCGAAAAGACGGTTGCATTATAGTTATATCTGGCCTAAGTCACATAAGAAACGCGCATGCGGGGAGTCTATACACTCATAGGTTTAAGTAGATATTAGTGTGTTTATTAGTTTGATATATTTTTCCAACTAAAAGGTATAAGTGAATTTTTTTTCTAAAGTTTTGAATTGCATGGCGGTTATTGAACACATTTGTGGAACACAATGTATGAAAATTTT